ACTGCAGATGTAAATCAAATGTTGAAACTTGGAATTCACGTCGCGCCTCGATTTCGGTGTTATATTATGAAATATATGTATATATATTATTTTATAAAGCAGTAAAACTAATCGACACTAGTTCTTCTGATTACATTGCTACCATTATTTCTCAATAAAGCGTACCTAAATTCGAAACCCAGTAACGTTGTTGTTGTCATTCCAACTACGTTTAGCAAAGAAATTCTTAAAATCGCATGTATTTATGGTTTGCATAAGTTCATATTGACATCCATAAATTCCAAAAAGGATTAATTTACCCTCATATATCTCTTGTAAGATTAATGATACCGTGACGATAATTTCCACAGTCATGTGCACTCGAAACTTCAACATTAAAGCATTTCCGGTTATACAAATTTCACTTGCGTGAATGAGCTTAAAACAGCTGAAATATACTGTGGTTATTATTCCTCGTCATATTGTCTATGGTTGTGTGCTCATTATCTCCCTTACATAATATAATATGGTATTAGGCGTGTATTTGATAATTGCCAAGGTCAAATGTAATGGAAAGTGTCAAACAAACTCAGTAGTGATTACGTCAACACGGGAGGTGTAGAGCTTACCAATCAGAGCTCTCTATTCAGAATCCAAGTATGTTGCCGTGGTGGCGCTGTTCACACGCCGCTGTGAAGTACTCGTGTTAATTTCGGGGCTCATACCACAAATTAGATCTCCAGAGACGACAATTTTAGCGTTTAGATGAATTTCTTTAAAAAAAGTTAAAAAGATCAAAATATTGTTTTATTTTGTTGAAACCACATGTATGTGATATAATTCTGGTCAGTAAAACACATGTTGGCCAGCTCAAACTCTTACAAAATGGATGTAAACAAAACACACAGATTTGTCAGGCTTTCTAAGAAGAGCAGCCAGTTTGGAAGTGTCTAATCGAGAATTTTCAAGATCCGCGGGCACCGGTACTTGTCAGAAATACTTCAATTACGTGTATTTCATTGCCTTATTTTATTAACTCAGCGATACGTTATACAATAAGAAAGCAAAGTCCGAAGATGACGTCATATTTGATATCTGTCATGTAAAAGTTTAGAGTTTGCCGCCGGTGTCATTATTGAGAACATATTTGTATGATTAACTTTATTATCTTTTGTTCTGAAATATTTCTTTTTAAAAATATGTGTATAAGCGCGTGTGAATAATTTATATGTATACGTTATGTACCTGTAAAATGATGTGTTCTACAATATGTTGTATGACGTCATATAAATGACGTCAGTCATTATGGTGTCGGCATACAAGGTCATGATAATCGAACGTACCTTTTGTAGAAAAGTATTTAGATTAAAATCAAATCAATCAAATATTTATTTTACCTGATAATATACACTTGTAATTTACAAAACAAATTAAAATAATCAATTACAAATAGGTAAAATAGGAACCAGAATTAACCGTTTGCTAATCTAGTCTGATTCCTCAGAAACAAATGAATTACACTGTCTTAGAGGGTGATTTATAATAACCTGAAACTGTACATATAAATGAAGCAAATAATAAAAATAATTATAATAATAATAATAATAATAATAATAATAAATAATGATTATTCAATTAATTTTTAACTTAAATAATTTCATGTCCATGAATACTATCAAAAACGAAAAGGGCTAATTGGAACTGGTGTTGTTTGTATATATCAAGTATATTTTAGCTGTTAAACAATGGGAGAGTATGTGAAAAAGGGGGTGAACCGGAAATAGTGCGTACGATTCGTTTTTGAATAATAAGTATTGGATGTAAATGAGTTTATAGGCATTTTCCCAGGTTTCCAACATATATGAAATATGTGGCAAAATAAATGAATAATACAATAATATAAGAGTTGAGCTTAGAACAATATATACTTAATTTATATATGATACCTGCTTTGACACTTATTTTGCTCATCACATGATCAATATGTTTTTTCCAATTTAAATTGTGGTCCAGCAGCACACCAACATATTTAGTACACTCTACCTCACTAATAATTTTGTTTCTAATTGTCAAACTCCCAACTCCCTGTTTATTACAGTCGCACCAGTCAACTATATTAACTATATTTAACTTTTCATTAACATAATGTATGTTAATACTGTTCTCAGTATGAAATGTATGAACTAAACTGGTGTCGTCTACAAACACACGGATATCAAAGTACGTAGATGCTAATGCAATATCATTAACATAAAGAAGAAACAAAGTAGGATCAAGTATAGACCCTCGCGGTACGCCGCATATTATTGGAAGCGAGTATGATGTTACACCATTCACACTTACATGTT